AAGGATTACTTTCTAAAATGATCTATTTGTAGCTAGGAAATATAGCCAATTGATTTGGAAAATAGTCTAAAATCATAGGTTTACATGTCCCTATACAATATAGATAAGGGAAGTGTAACACACACACACATATATATATATATATATATATATATATATATATATATATATATATATATATATATATATATATATAAACCAATTAGTGAGTACTAACTTCTAAGTTCTAACCACCCCTAAAACATAAGAAAAACAAAATAAATTTCCATTACATATGGTTGTTAGCAGCAAGTCATATAGAATTATAGATCCCAACAACTCATTTTGCAAACTAAATTGCACCATTACTAAGTGTAAGGTGTAAAAAGCAGTGTTAATTAACCAAATTAAACTAAATAGAACACACTGAATTAACTAAGGGCAAAAATTCAAATCAGGTGGATTAGATTCGTCGTCAGACCGAACTAAGGCTAAATAATCAAATTAAGGTGCAAAGATGAAACTCTTAGGCTGAAATCCAAAACTAAATCAGATTTTGCAATAGATTTTGTAGCATGAACATCAAAGGTAAAAGGTTTTACTGAAGATAAATTAAAAAGACTTAGAGAGTAGAGAGTAAAAAGGGTGAAGAACAACCGGAGAAATAACTCGACATAGAAAGAGGAAGAGTAAAACATACCTGATGAAGACACGACGTTGAGCATAGAATTTTGGGGGGTGTCGATGAGTCTTGAGACAGTTGTGCTTGTGAGTCGTGAGTACCCTTGTGTGTGAGTGGGATGGAAATGACACTTAACTGAGGAAGTGAACATTTAATCAGAAAGTGAACATCCACAATTTAAAAGTAAAAAGTTTTATGAAAACTGAAAAAATCTATTAAAAGTTATTTTTAATTCAATACTTGTTTGTTTGTTTGTTTGTTTTTAAATTTGCCAATTAGTAAGGTCTTTTTTTTTTTTAAATCGTAGGTTTTCAACCAATTACGAATAAAATCACTAAATAAACAAATTTAGAAAGTTTTCTTTTGCAAACATAAAAATGAGCTTTTATAATTAAAGTTTTTTTTTCATTAAAAGTTTTTCTAATATAGATCTTTTTACACGGGAAAATCTCTACAAATAACACAATATTTTGGGTCAGTTCACAAAGTAGTCTATTTTTTTAAAATCTTAAAAACCAAAAAAATGTTGCATTCTGACCATTTTTTCCCGGTTCAGCAGATAACAAATTAATTTGAAAATATTTCATAAACTACCAAAAATATTAAGATTTTTCTATAAAAAAACCAAAATATTGGGACTGTTTTGTAAACTAGCCCAAAATATATACGAAAGCGGTTGTATATATTTTTACACCTTAAGAAACATTTTCAAAGTTTTTTTTTTCATTTAAACATATTTGTATGTATTATAAATGTATAAATACCATGTATCCATATACATTAGGGGGTCATTTTATGTCATTTTGTATATTCTTTGTGTACACGTATTGTTTTGGATTTGCTTCATTGTTTTGTCGACCAATTAGGTTTCAATTTCTGTTACTGTATTTCTTGTTTATGTTACCGACATTCTTTTTTATCTCTGTTTCTATCTGTCTTCGTCTTCAACCATGGTCACTGTCTTCCATCCTTCCAGAACTCTCTCTATTCCTTCGATATAGTCTACTATCCACAGAAACCCACTGCCTCATACCACCTCCTTCCTCTGCTCAAGAAATCTCCATTAACGTTCGTCTCTTCTTCTTCTTCTTCTGACCTCCGCCAACTCCCACCCTAGAAAGTGGGTTTCAGAATCGCCAGCCCCCACAAACCCTATAAGCACCCCATCGATCTTCGCCTCTTAGCCCAATCGATTTATCCAGTTTAACTCAAAATCTCTCACCGTTCTCACTGAGCTTTAGCAACCACCACCACCATCTCCAGATACGCTTCGACCGCCACCGCCGTCTCCAGCGTCTCCGACACGCCCACACCAGCTCCATCACATCCTCATCAACTGATCTACGATCCTGTTGCAGAAGAAATCAAATCAAAGCTCAAGCGACTCGAAAACCTCGATCCTAGGTTCCTCAAACACAACTCCCGTTACCCTACCCTAATCGATCACACATCTATCCTCACCTACCCCGTGACTCGAGTCACCACTCTTCCTAACGGTCCCTGTGTTGCCACCGAATCTAATCTATTCTCCCCGACGGCTACCATTGGGGTATTGATCGATGCAGGGTCATGGTTTGAGACGGAAGAGAACAATGGTGTTGCTTATTTCCTAGAGCATATGATATTTAAACGAACATCGAAAAGATCGGTTAGGGATTTAGAGGAGGAGATTGAGAATATGGGAGGCCATTTGAATGCGTATACCTCGAGGGAACAAATTGTTGGATTAGATGTCTAAGCCCATAACTATTATTGGTATGTACTTGACCCGAGAGTAGCATGGTCCATTTGGGTTGCATATCATCAGGACAATTTGTTAGGATGGACTTTTGAGAGAAGGTTATTTATGGTTTATTAATATATTATAAGTTATAATATATTAATATGAAATCATATGTTTTAATTAGTATCGATCAAGAATTAATTTGGAATTAATTTAGTGATCAAAAGAGACTAATTAAATCTATGGGGACTAATTATGAAAATTAGTTATATTTATATGTGTTGGGCTTATGATCCATGTTGGACCAAGTTTATGTATGGATACATAAAGAGTTGGGCCACATGAACCATGGATCATAAAACCCATGGGTATGGATTATGGGTTATACCCATGACCCTTGGAATCCTACATATAAATAGGTTACTCCATAGCCAAAATCACCACTTCTTTTCTTAGATAAATATAGAGGTGTTTTGGTGCATGGAATTCTCTCTCAAGAGCCACCTTTGTCCTAGGTGTGTTTTGATTCCATTTGAGGCATTTCATACTATTGTGCTAAGCTCTTAAGGCCAAATACATCAAGACTTCAAGCCACATAAAAGGTATGTTTCCCTAACTAGTATATTATATGGTTTATGTCAAATGCATGCTAGTTATAGGTTTAATGCCTTGGAAACCATTTGCATGTATAATTAGTGAAAACCTAGATCCAAGGTATTTAGGGTTGTATGTGCACCATAGGATGTTGTATTATACCAAAACCCAACACAAATGACTTATTACGCGAAACATTCAACAACAAGGTACTTATCTCTTAATTCTTAAAATTATATCATAATATCATATTTATACTTACTGGTGTTTCAGGATGCCAACATGGCTGTCCCATTGCTCTCAGCTATTCTTTTACCATTGTTTCAAAGCGCTAGACCAATCCTCTCACAGATTGCATCATCACCAAATATCTGTTTTGAGGTAATAAGAATTAAGAAACACTTTTTTCTTTTAATTTATAAATTGATTGATTCTTGATATATATATATATATATATATATATATATATATATATATATATATATATATATATATATATATATATATATATATATATGGGCTAGGTTAAAGTGTTTTTTACATTTATTGTGTGCTAGAATGCACTAATATGAATTTAGTAAAATTATATTATTATTTAATTAAATAATGATAGATATTAAATGGTTTCCATAATTGTATGTATATTAAATGATATCCATAATTATAATTTTTTTTTCTTTATGAAAATTAATTAAATTCGTCATTAATTTCAGCAATAACATTCTTTTAGAATGAATTCGTATCTAGGTTTTTATGTTACAAATAACATTATTTCAGGACTCACTCACGTAAAATACAATAAAATTGTATGGAATATGAAGAATGAGGGTGTATTCTAGTAGAATATACTCTCGTTCTCCTAAAATACACTCTTATTATTTTATATATCATTATGAAAGAATATTATTATTGACATTAATTACGAATTAAATTAGTTTTCATAAAAAGGAATTATAAATATGGATATCATTTAATATACATTTAATGTTTACTCAATTCTTATTGGTGCATTCTAGCACACAATAGATGTGAAAAACATTTGAACATTATATATATATATATATATATATATATATATATATATATATATATATATATATATATATATATATATATATATATATATATATATATATATATATATATATATATATATATATATATATATATATATATATAAAAGCAAAGCAAAAATGACTTTAAAAAACTTGGTGATCCTTAGCCCTCGCATTATGAAACAATGGAAGAGACAATTTCACTCCAACACCAGAAGAAACTCGTAGACTGGTATCTATTAATTATGTAAATCCTTTGTTGAAAGTAGAAACATTATGAATCTATATAACATTTATTTGTGCAGATAAAATCATACTATGGAATCTTCTAATCAAATTGAAAGATGATACGATTGCTGAAACCTCTACTCTAGCTTTTGTTTTGCAACCACCCGATCATTGGTTGTTTGTTTAATTTGCATGCAGGTTTGTGTGCCTTTTCTTCCCCCCCACCTATCTGCTCTGATTTTCCACTTAATGAATACAATTGGTATTGTTATTAGCTTCTTTTTCCTTAAAAATCGGAATCAGTTTTGGGAAATTCTTGTTCAATTGAAAAATTAGGAAATCAGAAATCAGTCAAAAGTTTTCTAATTTTTTACTTCATAAGATTTGTTGTCGTGTATTTTGCTACCAAAAATCCCGCCTCCAAAATCAGGCATCAATCAAAAGTGTTCTATGACAACAATTGTGTTGGTGGTCTCCTAAACCACCAATAAAGTAATAATTTGATGGGTAAAGATAAAACAGTTTAGTATGTTGAAAGAAATAACCACTTGGCAAGAGAGATTAGTTCTTTGGTTTTTAACCACATGTTTCTTATTGTTTTTGATGCCGATTAGGTGTTTGATCGAATGTTTCAAGCAACCACATTTATGCAATTAAGGTAATGTATTTTACTTGTGATTTTCAATTAGTCATCAATTCGGAGCCTAATTTATGTTAAATCACATGAATTTAGGCATTTCACAAGTCTCGTTTATTAAAGCTAAGAGTTGCTCCTTCAGAAACTGTTACGACTGATGTTCTTCGTAAAGATTTTCCTTTCTTTTTTTCTCTGTTTCTTTGTATGTATCTGTTAATGATGTTTTATAAACTGATTTGCAGGTTTTAATCATGATAATGTTAAACCATCCAAACATAGTAAATATGATAGAAGTCGTTGATGACCCAAATACATATCATTTCTACATGGGTATGCAACAGTTAAAACCACTACTTTCTTTGACCCTTTGAATCCATGTCTATTTTTTTTTTTTTTTAAAGTTTTAATCTTTACTTTCAGTTCTTGAATACATTGAGGGCAAATGGATCTTTGAGGGATCTGGACCTCCAGGCTGCTTAGGAGAACAAGTTTCAAGGAGTTATTTGTATCTCCATTCTCATGTATGTCCTTTTATACCCTTATGTTTTATTATTATTTATTTATTTTAATCAGGCTTTAGAAAGTTATCCATCTTTAATTGGACAAGAATTGTACTTTTTCCTATTTTTTAAAATGTCGACAAAACTTGCATATATATTCTTTATTGGAAATTAATTTAAGAAAAAAAAAAAAAAAGCTAACTTGCCACTAAAATTTGAAATTTTCTAAACTAACTCTTCTAAATTCCTCAGTTTCTCCCCCTTATTTGTCTATTAATAAAACATTGTATCCCATGTTTGTTTTTATGGTTAACGTTTCTTGTAATTTTCTAAATTTGTTTACTATTTTCCCAAATTAATTCTATCCTATCATTGCAAAATAATCGACACGGGAGAATATAGTTTCGGTTTCTATTTTCCAAAGGCTCTCACCATGAACAACTGAATCACTTGGTTGTAGTGTTCATTTGGTTGAACTAAAAGATACCAGTGAACTTTTTGCTATGAAAGCTGGAAGTAATGATAAACCGTAACAACAACGTATGTCTGTAAAATAATATTCCTTTTTTTTTATTATGATTTCAAATCTTCAAAGTTTTTGAAACTTGATTTTTGTTATGTAAATAACTGATGTTGTAACTTGATTTTAATTATGGTGTTATTATCATAAGTTGTCCTCGAGTAGCTAGATAAATAAGAGAACAAAAGAAGAACAAAGGAAAAATCTTTGCTCGAAGACAATCTATGATGATAATGACATGATAACTAATGTTATACAAATCTATACCAGTCCTAGGTTGATATCAGCTTTGTTTATTTAACAATTTTTTTTTTATAAAAAAATAACATAACTTTATCTATTTTTTCATCATTTTGCAGTGGTGCGGTTCATTTTGCAGTATGTAATAATGATTGTCGACCCCTCGCCCTTTATATCAAAGACTTTGACATGTTTAAGAACATAAACTTTATGAGAAATTAAATATCCTTCTACATTTTATTCCTACTATTCTCCTACCCACATTAAATGGTGATAAGTGGACTAAAATATTATCAATTTCATTAAATATGTCATTAAATATGCCACATGTCAACATTTTATAGGGTAGGAAGATAAGTATGAATATAATGTAGGAGAATATTTAATTTCTCAAACTTTATATTCATGTATTTCTCTTAATTTGACACGTCTGTGAAATTAGTATCAATGTTTATCAAAGAAAAGTTTTTGTATTTTCATTTCCATTTTTACCCTTTTCATATCTTTTTGAAAGTATCATATTCCTAAAATTTTGGAACGATAATTTTATTTATAATGTAATCTATGAAAGTTAATTTTATTTTTGTTTCTTTATGTGGTTAAATTTTACAGGGAACTAAAAGCAAGGTTAAAGGGTGTGCATGGGTAAAAAGGAATTGGTTTGATGGCTTAAAGGTTTTATGCAAATTTCAAGAAGCAGAATTGTATGCCCAGAAAGTTGGGATGATTCCTGCTTAGAAACTTGAGGCATCAATCACATTCATTGGTGGAGCCTGGTACTCATCTTAACCTCCATCAGACCCGCTAACCCTTAATTTTGGCATGAATTATGTTATTTGTAGATTACAAACTAGAAAAAAAAAACAGTAGCTTGATCAAATTAGTTAGGTATTTGAATGTTCAATGTTTCAATGTAAGGAGCAGTTCTGTTCGATTCCATCTTTGAAGAAGATGATTTCAGTCGATTTTGCATGCCAGGCGTTCGATGACTTGCTCAGATGAAAATCAACAGGTACAACACAAGTAATTTTGAGTTCTTACTTCCCCACTATCCTTGTTAGTTGCAACCTTAATTTGCAAACAGGTAACTTCATGGCTTGGTACCGATGCTCATTGCACTAGACAACAATTAGTTTGCTTTCTTACTTTCATTATTAAACTTTTTTCCCTCTAAAGATGATTAGATTTGTTGATTATTGGTTGACAAAGTATAATTACTCGATCTATTTGCTTTTTTTTTTTAAACATGGAGAATCAATCATCAAAACTAAAAGTTCAATTGTCGTCGTACAATGAGTTAGATGGCAAACGGGCAACAAGCTGTGCCGCTAAACAACAAAGAAGAAAAACAACAAGATACTAGGGTTCGTATTTGTTTTATTGTGTAATTGTAATCATTCATAGTTAGATGGGTATTGTAATGATTTTGTTTGTTTTTTTTTTCTTTTTCTTTCTTTCATAGGTAAAATGTAAAAGGGCATGACACAAAACGTTCATCAGGTTGTTTTATGAGTAATGATTCTGATGTTTTTTCAGCCATTATATTCTTGATGTGTCTTTTTCTATTATTGCTTTATTTTCTGGAATTGTGTAACTGTTGAATGCTTATCACATCTTTCATTTGTATATAGTTTCTTTATCAATTTTAGGTTCATTTTTCATATGTAAATGCATTTCTTGATTAATCTATGATTTGGGGCTATAAGACTTTGATAATTATCTTCTCATGTAATTGATTAATTTAATTCTGCCTAGTTGCAGCCTTGAGGTTTTTTTTTTTTTTTTTTTTTTTCAAAAGAAGTGATGCTTAAGATGACGTTTCTAGATAGGTGAAAAGGAAAATCAATAGGAATCCATAAACCATGTAATGCTACACCTTTGAGAAATACTTTTATGGTAGTATTCATGAATAAGGTGCAATGATGGTTATTACGACTCTTATTGATCTTACACTTATGTTAATTTTCTGTTGCCGGTTAAGATTGGGATGAATAAGGTGCAATGATGGTTATTAATTTAACTCTCTTTAAGAGCTTACTCCTTAGATTATGGAATAAGACTTGATGCTCATTCAGACCAAAATCTGGTGCGACATACAAAAGTCAATTCATTTTGGATGAGCTCACGTAATACCATTCGTCTGGTGCCTGTTTGGTATAAGAGCTTTGAGACATCTGTGCAGATGTTTGATTACTTCTTCAGGTTTCTTAATCTTTGTTAACAAATCCATACCCCGCAAAGCGGAGTCCCTCATCCAGTCTAAATGAAAAAAGAACTTTGAAAATGTTTCTTAAGGTGTAAAAATATATAAAAACGTTTTTCATATATATTTTGAGACAGTTTATGAAATAGTCATAATATTTTGGTTTTTGCAGAAAAATCATAATATTTCGGATCAATTTACAAAATTGGCACACATTAATTTGTTACCAGCTGAACCGGAAAAAATGGTTAGAATGCAACTCATAGATCATTGTTGAATCTATCATATACCCTAGGCATTCTAACAGATTCAAAGCAACAAAACTCTCAACAATACTAGAAAATTAGGATAGAATTCCCATTCATTCGAGAGGAATGGACTCTCTAAAAGAAGAACAAAGTTCTTTACAAAATTCTTAGCTACTGACTCTCTAAAACAAAAGGACTATATATACTACCACTAGAGACGAGACAAAAGGGAATAACAGTCAAGTTCCCACTAACAAAACAACCAATAACAACCATAATTGGTTGTAGACTCACTAATAGGAAAATAAATAGATAAAAGATAGAAATACCCCTATGCTATAAACCAGTAAAGTTGGGGCCTATCAACAACCTTTTAATGTTTTATAGGACTTTTTTGTTAAAAAAAAATAATAAATAAATAAATAAATAAATAAATAAAAATTGAGACTATTTTGTAAACTAATCCAAAATATTGAGACTTTTCTAAGATTTCCCATTTACAAATTAACATTTACAACCACATAATTGCTCACAATACTCAAATTTTTATTAACTTTATTTAGACTTGGCACTACCACAACCTTTTTGATTCAAGGAAAATAACACCCTAATGTCTTACACTCTTATAATTTGGCGTCAGGGAGGGAGCTTCTTAAGGGCAACGAGGGGCTGTGTCCCATGTTCTGTTTTTTAGAACTAGTCAATAGCTATTAAAGTTTTTACATATTAGGCCTAAAACTATAAAATTTGATTGTGCCCCCCAGTTCTCTAATTTTTATACATAGTATACTTTTGGCCCGGCCTCCAAATCAAAAGTTCAAGCTCTGTCACTGGCGTCCGCAGATCACAGATTTTGAACAAAGGGGACACTGAAGCTTGTTGAGTTTGAGTGTTTAGCTTACCATTGTGGAGCAGATAACATAATTCAAAAAAGAATCATATGTAAAAAGTGGTGTTTATGAATTGGAAAATATAAAAGGATTAAGGAAGCAAATTTGAAGGATTGAATAATTTCCCAATTCGCACAAAATTTTGTTCATCGTTTTGGACTTTACTCAATGACCGTCTACAATACCAATTGATATATAAAATTAAACAAAAGTAATTGAAATAAGAAAGAAATTTCAATCACCTATTATTGCAGTTCGTTTCGTCTTTGGCCATACAAACAATCATTGTAGTGGAGAAGTAGTAATATAAGAGTAATCGAGTTTGAAATTTGCAAATGGAAAACCAGCAAAACAAAACCCACAAAACAGCAAACCAAAATATTCAAATAATAAGTTGTAAGATCCACATAGACCAATTAATAGTGGTTCTTAAGGTCTTGAAAATGTTCTACATATGGGAATTTTATATTCCATAATCAAAACAAAAGATAAGAGTGGTAATTAAGAAGTCCTCACTCATTTAAGAGATTAATATTCAAACAATCATGAGGGAAGTACCACATCCATTCATAACAAAACATGCATTGTCGACTTTTATTATCATCAAGAAAGTAACCACAACTCCTGTATTGTGTTCGAGGTTCAGGCCATGACTCGTGTTTAATAGCAACACAAGAAGTGAACCTGCTAAGAAAGAAAACACATTCTCCTGTTGTCTTTTTCGGAGGGACCCATTTCATTTCACCAAAATCTAATTCCATAACCTTTCTCCGTGATGATGAAGACCGATATATCATATAAAGCTTTTCTCCCGAGCTTACAAACTCTGGTGGAAACCAGTCTTTTTTTGGATAATTTTTGGTTTCGAACGAAGTCCATTTGAGATTTTGATTATGATCGAGTCTGAGTTCACATATAGAAGAATCAGTGTGTAGGGTATATATCTTCCCCTTTAAAACATGTAAATCAAGGATTTCAGGTGTGGGGATAGGGGAGGAGATATGATTCCAGCCTTGTTTACCCACTATAGAAAATGATATATTTTTTCTATGTAACACAACAAACACACACCCAGATATTGAAGGTGAAAAGACAAGGATACCCTTGATAGCCCTCATTTGTACTTCATGAGAAGTTACAGTTAAGGGGTAATCGGGGAAATGAAGTTCATCCCTTGTGATAGGATTCACAAGCCAGAAGTCGCGGGTTTCCCTTCTGAATAAGATAAGGTAACCACAAGTTAATCCGAAATAGGCCTTGCATGAAGAATGGGGAATAATGGTTTTAAATCTTCCTTCTTTCAAGTCCTCAAGGAAATAATACGAGTCTTCCTTATTAACGTGGGGCCTGATGCTTATCTGCATGGGTGGTTTGGACGCCATAAACGTGTTCCTGTTACAGACTGCAAGTGACCTCCATGACTTGCAAACTCCACCGAATGCAACAAAATCAACAACTCCCAGTTTCATCATAACTATTGCTCTGGTGGAATCTTTGTTTCGATGAGAAAGTCAAAGAGTTTGGCTTTTCGAGAAGTGAAGATGAATCTTGTGTATAAGTCAAGGCTAGTGGGAGTATAGTTAGCTTTTTGGTACTGTATGTGGATGACATACTACTCATGGGAAATGACATCCCAACTTTGTAGGAGGTTAAGTCCTGGCTTGGGAAGTGTTTCACTATGAAGGACCTTGGAGAAGCTGCATATATCCTAGGGATAAGAATTTTGAGAGATAGGAGTAAAAGACTAATTGGACTTAGTCAGAGTACCTACTTGGATAAGGTGTTGAATAGGTTCAGCATGCATAATTCCAAGAAAGGAGGGTTACACGATCCAGAGTAACGCCAAACTGAGTGAGACTCGGAGTCCGAATACAGAGGATGAGATAGCTGAGATGAGTCGAGTTCCATGTGCTTCCGATGTAGGCTCGATCATGTATGTTATGACTTGTATTCATCCTGATGTGGCCTTCACATTGAGCATGGTCAGCAGATATCAGGGGAACCCTAGCAAGGCTCACTGGACTGCAGTGAAGAACACTCTCAAGTACCTTCGGAGGACTAAGGACTGGGTCCTTACCCTTGGTGGAAGTGATGATGTGAGAGTAGTAGGTTATAGTGATGCTAGCTTCCAGACTGATAGGGATAATTTTCGCTCTCAGTCAGGCTGGGTTTTTACCTTAAACGGAGGAGCAGTAACTTGGAAAAGTTCCAAGCATGAGACAGTGGTTGATTCAACTTGCGAATCAGAGTATATAGCGTTAATCAAGGCAGCAAAGGAGGCTGTATGGCTAAAGAACTATTGGAGACTGATATGTGCATAATTAGTTAATTATTTAGCATATATTCTTAGTTATTTTTGATTAATTATGTGAATAATGTGGAAAAAAGGTACTTAAAATGTTGTGAATTGTGTTTTCAGTCCAAAAGATATGCTTGGAAGCAAAAAGGAGAAAAGGAAAGCAATTAAAGATTGAAGAGTGAAAGAAGGTGATATACTCGGCAAGTAGATCGACCCTACTCGGCGAGTACACGAGGATATTCCAGAAGATAAATACGACTGCTGATTCAAGACGGATAAGTATGGATCTACTCGGCGAGTTGATTC